GACCACGTTCCTACCTATGATTGTGACCACGTTCCTACCTATGATTGTGACCACGTTCCTACCTATGATTGTTTCCACGTTCCTACCTATGATTGTGACCACGTTCCTAACTATGATTTTGACCACGTTCCTACCTATGATTGTGACCACGTTCCTACCTATGATTGTTTCCACGTTCCTACCCGTGATTGTGGCCACGTTCTTACCTTTGATTTTGACACTTTCCTACCTATGATTGTGATCACGTTCCTACCTATAATTATTACACTCTTCATCGAGACCGATAGAAACTTTTAATGAAGTATTCTACCGTTGCACTATACGTATAAGAAACATTTACTACACTCTTCATCTAGACCGATAGAAACTTTTAATGAAGTATTCTACCGTTGTACTATACGTATAAGAAACATTTACTACACTCTTCTTCTAGACCGATAGAAAAACACACTCTGGGGATAGACGACTTACTAAATAGGTAGGTTTCTGCTATCCCTGTTCCCACGGTGTTTTTAGCCAAGCATTTATAAACTCCTAAGTCAGTTTCTTGGAGATTGTTAATACTAAGATTACTTTGGATCTTATTTTCCTCAACATGTTGAGTGCTGATGTTATACTTGCTTCCCGAAGTCAGTCCAGCACCGGTTTCTTTAACCCAATAGATACTTGAAGAAGGAAATGAAACCACTAAACACGTTAGAACAGGTGTTGTTTTCAGCTCTGCTCCAATAAAGCCTCCAGGGACGGTTACCGTTGGTAAATCTGAAATGTCAAGATACAAGCGAACCTATTTACTCTAATTATAAACATTACACATTTGTAACAGTGTAAATCGATCTATGATTTATTTAATTAAGTCAGGGTTGTTACATAGTACGTTAAAATATTACTGAATGAGTCATACCGTTCTTTTATCACTCTTGCCATTGATAAAGCACTCTGTCTATTTTTGGTAAGGTTACAGTTTAAACGCTGGCACAAACGTTGGAAAACCAACAGGCCCAACAATTCTTATAAAATCAAGTTAAGGGCAGATGTTTTTTTTCAGATGTGTTCCGCTTAATTTGCTCATTGAGGCTCGGAATCAGAGGTGCATTAAAAATAGCATTTCAAATCTACATTTTGTCTCCCAGAAGTCACTGCCCAATAAAATTTTCATTCAATACCAGAACTCACCAGTTGGACTGGAGGATGAGAGACAAAAGATTCTATGAAACGTTATTTATATATGTGCTAAACTTTACGGGGGAAAACATCTGCGGGTAGCTTGTTTTTACAACTGCTTTTTTTTGGAGATCATAAAATTAAATATCTAAATAGCATTTTTAATTTCATTCTAAAGAAACTTATGAATGGAGATAACGACAACTATGAATTTTAGATAATGAACTGAAAAAAAAAAACTTTCTTAACCACTTCACATGACAGTTAGAGACGACTAATACACTTAAAAACTTCTCTTAACCACTTCACATGACAGTTAGAGACGACTAATACACTTAAAAACTTCCCTTAACCACTTCACATGACAGATAGAGACGACTAATACACTTAAAAACTTTCATTAACCACTTCACATAGCATTAGAGACGACTAATACACTTAAAAACTTTCATTAACCACTTCACATGACAGTTAGAGACGACTAATACACTTAAAAACTCCCCTTAACCACTTCACATGACAGTTAGAGACGACTAATACACTTTAAAACTTCTCTTAGTTTGCCTGTTTGTTTCTGAATTTCGAACAAAACGGCTAGTTGCGCATATCTTCGTCCTTAATTGTGTAACGTTTTGCTTAAAAACAACCAAACAAATATCATGGTTATCTTAAAACAAAACAACAAAAAACATGCTGGAAGAACATAGATATAATCATCCATTGTTTATGCTTTCAAGTTGAAGAACAGTTTCACACAGTTCAGTTGTGAAACACTCCCAATATTAAGTAGTATTTGGATTCCAATTGTAGGCCTCTTGGCAGTTCCTTTATCGGCGACGAACAAATAACGTAAGGAAACCTTCGTTCTACGGTTCGGCTGTTTCGTTTTAAACTCTTGCAGTGTTTAGTTTTATTTTCAAAGTTTCAAACTTTTACTTTTTTTTTCTTTTGGCACTGTTAATCCGTGGGGCGCTAAGTGCACATGATTATTTCATTTTTGGGTTTTTATCAAGTATTTCTATTCTTTATTGTCGTTTACTAGCTTTTTAAGGTTACATTGTGACTATAAATGGTAACGTATCTCAAACTACTATAACGTAATACTTACTGTCTTATTACATTATCAGTAAAGGTCTGTAACGTATCACAAACTACTACACTGTAACATTTACTTACTGTCTTATTACATTGTTAGTAAAGTTCTGTATCCTATCACAAACTACTACACTGTAACATTTGTTTACTGTTTTATTACATTGTTACTGGA